TTATAATATACACGCATTACGTATACAACGCGTTGGCCTTCATCAATATTTATTTGAACATACAAATACTCTACTCGTAGGTTTGTTGTTACGATAGAAAATATTTTACTGATAGTTTTCTTCTTCTTCTTCTATATCTTCTTCTACAGTTACTTGAAGCTCGACAATCACATACATTAAACTTTAGTATTCTTTGGCTTCGAACTGTCTTACAACGTTCAGCAGTTAGTCTTATATGGCGTCAATCAATTGTTAATTGGTTAATTGGTATCCAGGTATTTTTGTTTTCATACGCATACAACCAATAGAAAATAAATTTGAAAATATTTCTAGCGTAAAAATCACATGAAAGAAGAAGTAGCTCAACATTGTGTTCGACTTCTCGATGCACGAGATACATTACGTGGTCATTATGATCGTGATTATCAATTACGTGCTATGGGTTATTTTATTCTTGTGGCAAAATTTCATAATCGTATTCAAGTCAAAGTAAAAAATTAAACAAAAAAGTAAAAAAAACTATCTTTCTATTTTTATCTCTTTTTAGCTCGAAGAATATTCTCGTTATTCAGCTAATGCGTTTGATCCACGTGACATCGGCCATATCGTGCGACATTTATTTGCTGAACTTAATTTTGAATTTCAATTACCATTACCACAAGAATTTGTCGAACTTTTCCTAGAACTTAATTCAACTGAAATATGTAAATTAAATGAACCAAAAGTAAATCAACAATTATTTTCTTATAGTTTAAATCTACATTCTCCATTCAATAGATTCGAGCATTAAGTAATTTATTTATTCATGTTGCATGTATTCAATCATGGTCAAGCTGTTTTAATCCATCTCTTCTTGCTACTTCAGTACTTGTTCTTTCGATTAAATTTCTGCGTCAAATTCTTCCTGATGTACCGCATTTAAATTATATTTTATGGACGTGTAATTATCCAGTTGAATTAGTTCTTGGTCTTGCAGGTTATATAGCCATGATTGTTGCCGATATGCCCGGCGAACCAACCGATCGTGCTAATCATTATTTCGTAATATGAAAAAATCCTAATTAATTCTATACTTTAAAAAAAATACACATTTTCCTTCTTTGTCTTATTTTAGTATGCAACAAAACTTTATAATGACGAATGTCATCATGAAGCTTATTTCAGTATAAATTATGTGAAAAATTTTTGCCGAGAATTTGTCAAAGGCTCAATGGTTAATCGGCAAATAGCATTAGGTATGCGATCACTTGTATCTCAACAACGACAAATTATTGAACAAACTTACTTTACATCACAACCATTCGTAACAGTGACACATACAACACCACAACTTAATCCAAATCCAAATCCAAATAGTTTATCACGTACAATATATGATACACCTAAAAAACAACATAGTGATCAACAAGAACAAAAAAAACCTATGAGATTAACTGTCCGAGCTGTTCTTGCAGCTAAACGATTTGGTAAACAAGTTATGGAACGTCGTCGAATACGACAAAGACAAGTGATGATGTCAGTTGATTAGAAGAAAAATTATTTAAAGATTTTTTTCAGAGCATTAAAATTTTCGATATTCTTTATCAATGTTTTGAAAAAAAGAAATTTTGATAGAAACGAATTTTTTCAGATGATACCGATTTAAGTTTATATTTCAGTGTAGTTTAACTATTTTTTCTTTTCATTTTTTATTTGAACAACTGTATTATGTATAAATAGATATAGTATGTAGTGATTTTCTTTTCATTTCCATGTTTATCATTATTTTTTCACGAAGGATGATTAATAAACAGAGATCTTTAATATGTTATTCACAAAAACTTTATTATACAAAACAATGTTTTTATAGTTCCGCCATTTTTTTTTACTGAAAATTATCTAGATTTATATATACTTGAAATAAAGATCATTTTGTAACGTATACGAAGTATTAACGGTTCAATTTTTATTTGATTTAATAAATCGAAAAATTAAACAATTTCGACAGTAAACTATTATTCTCTAACAAGTACTCGCTGGTATCTTTATTAATATATTCCGTGAACTCTCACTCTCTTTCTAAGCAGAAATATATTTACATAATAAATTTTACTTTCCATTTGTTTAACTAATCTTTGCTAACTTTGAATTTGCATTTGTGCATAGATGAGGAAAACAAAAACAAGCATCCGTTCATTAAACTTTAACACTCAATTATATGGAAATTTATGCGTAAACTCTGTTTCTGTTTGGAATATTTTGTATGATTCCGTTGAAATTAAAAGATGAATTTGATTTTCTACCAATCGTATAATTTTAACCTCGAAATAAATCGTTAAATTTGATGATTCAAAAATAAAAAGAACTGTTTTCTCTTTTCTCTCTATCGAACATTTTACTATTTATACTTATTAAACGAACGGTTAATTACTATGGTATGTTTAATTTAATTCTTTTGTTTTATTTTCACTATGAAATTTATAATAAAATAGGATAATGAAAAATCGTATCAATCAACGGGAACACTTCAACGAGTTATTAAACTAAATTCATTATTACCTGATAATCCAGGTATAATTGATGGTGTAAGTTTAATTTCTATAATTAAACTAAAATTGAATTTGCTGCTGTTTCTCTCTCTCTCTCTATATGTATATATACTTATATAAGATTATGTATGGAATCGTTATTGGTAAAGTAGAGATGCGAACGTTTGAAGGAAGTACGTCATTATTATTAGCTAATTCTTTATATGCTACAGTTTTGATTTCAGATGATCGTCATCAACGAAGTGTACTTAATTTTACATTTCGAGATTCAATAAAAGATTTTGTTAATGTTGCTTATTGGCTTCCACCAAAAGATTTAATTATTATTAGTAGTAAATTTACTATCGGAGATGCTGGTATGAAAATTTAGATTTAATTTAAAAACAAAAAAGACACAAGAAGATCACTTTGAAATTCTAGTGGTCATGCATTATCCAGTTGTGAAAGCAAAATTAGAAGATAAAGCAAATAGTTATACACCATGGACACCTTTGTATAGCTTCCTTTTTATCTCAATTCTTTTAAAACATTCAGCATAGATTGATTTATTTAGACCAATCGATCTTTCATTAAATGAAAAATCATATATAGAAAAAATTGAAGGTCCAAAAGCCAAACAATATGAGAATTTAGCTTCTGTACCTTGCCGAGCAGGAAACGATTATTATACTTTAGCACATATTGTTACTCAGGGTGAGAAATTAGTGAAAAAACTTGATGGAATTAATGTTCTAGCTGGTGTACAACAAGTATTAAAAAATTGAGTTTAATCTTTTATTAATCGCTTTTTTTCTTTTCTATTGATAAGATTGGTGCATTGAAAACGATTCGAACACGACGACAACGTGAAACTGATTATGATAATGAAGAAAAACAACTTTTGGAAATTTTACTTTTTGATGGAGAAACAAGTGGAGTTTGGTTGACATTTTGGGATAGTGAACAAATTAAAGTAATCAAAGATTTGTGTGTTTTATATTTGGCTTTCACTATATCATTGACTCATAGTTTGCTCAACGATGGATACCTGAAGAACATATTATTTTTTGTGTTGGCTTACGTGTTCGTTATGATGAATACCGAAAAGTCTATGGATTAACTGCAACTCGTCATAGCTTATTTACAATCAATCCGGGTAGCTAGTTACATAACTGTTATTAGTGAAGAGAGCGAGTAGGATTTAAAAGTCTTTCTTTTAGAATCTCGTTACAAAAAGATCAATCTATATTTATAGGATCACTGCTTGTTTTAGAAGGGGCTATGACTTATTATACCGAATGTTTTTAAATCACATATCTAGAAGCTTGTCTAAAGAAATATTTGTTCGAGAAAAAAGTAACTAGGCTCTTTATAGCATTGCCATTTATAATTCTATGATTTTTTACTATCTGTATCCAATTAGACTGAAATGTTAATCATCCAAAATATGATATTTATTTCAGTAGTACAGTTCGAATGAGTTTTCACGCTAGAAAATAGAATGAAATAAATTCGACCAAGTTTTCTTTTGATCAGATCAGCAATTATGAATTAAATAATTTAAATTACATTAGATACCAATGAATCAGTTCAACTCTATGAATCAATGCGATTGATTCCTATCGACGACTTACTTAATGTTGCTATAGATGGTGGTTTTAATGGTAAACTTTGATATAAAAATCTAGTATTCATATTTTTTTTCTCCGAAACCAAGCACTTCAAGCAACCGTTGTAACTATACAAGAATTAAAACAATATTTATGTGATGATAATAGTAATGATACATTTATTGTACAATGCTTTCTAAGTCACTTAGATCTCGATGGTCCATTAAATCAAGTGATTACAAAAAGATGGTAATTTGTAATTTTGATTTTTATATATCTTAAGAACAAGTGTTCAATTTAGTATTTTTTGTAATCGTTCTATTCGTAACAATAATGGTGTTAACGAGTGTACAGAATCTGAATGTCGTATGAAATTATTAGAACAAATCAGTGACGAAAATTTATCGAAAAAAGAAGTTTTCAATTTGAATGTTCATCTAACGGATTACACAGGGACAATAAAAAATGTTAAATTAGGTGATGATGTTGCAAGAAAAATGCTTAAATGTTCAGTAAATAAGAATTCTTTTGTCAATAAAGAAAGAAAAAGAAAGCCATATTTTTTTCTTTTGAAAGGTTGATGAATTTATTTTGATGACTGGCGAACAAAAAACAAAACTTAAATGGACATATTTACTTGAAAGATTGCGTTTTGGAATTCAAGTAATTCGATTTAAGTTTTAAATTTGAAAAACTACTTTTTTTTGTTCAATTTTAGATTAAAAATAGTTCAAATTATGCGAAACCAATTGTACGAATAGCTGGTATATTTCCTCGGGAATATCTACCATTGTCCATCAATGATGAACAATTGTAAACTTTTTATATATATATATATATATATAACAAGAAAAATAACATGAATGAAAATAAAAACTTATATTCAACAAGTAGCAAGATTTAACACATGAGTATTTGTAGCAGCATAAACATCATCTTTTGTTTGATCAGCATCAACAATAAGTACAGGTGTTGTTAATGTACGAATTTCAGATGAAAGCCATTCTTCATGACGTTCATGTAATTGTTGCAAATAATCAAGAGTTATTGACTGTTCTTCAGGTCGATTACGAGATTTAATACGTTCAAGGCATGTTTCTGGGTTTGCTCGAAGATAAACTAATTAGAAAAAGCATGATAGAAAAAACAACTAATAGTAATTGATTGAAATAACATACTGATTAGATCAAGATGACAAGCATCATTCGATGTAAGCAATTGAAACCAATCTTTTAAAATTGTATATTCAACATTCTGAAGAATTTTACTATAGAAGATAAAATAAATCAAAATACAATTTTTCATACAATCAAAATGCTACTTTTGATAAAGATTTTCAACAAAACAATATCTTGCACTATAGATCGATCGTTCCATGATTTTTACAGGGAATTTTGACGGTTGTGCATGTAATTTTGCCAGTGTCATTTGAGCATTTGCTTGAAATGCAAAACCCCATCGATGAGGATCATTATAAACCATTGCCTAACAAAAAACTATTCGATAGTAATTTTGTGGTCAATGCATGAGGATCCTACTAGAAGATTATCTCCTTTGAGATTTGTCCAACTTTCAATTGGTTCCGCAATGATCTATTTTATTAAAATACAGAATTAAGAAAATAGAACCATCTTTTTTTTTTCTTACGTCACATAATGATGATTTACTAAGATGATCTAGTACTGTACTTTTTCTAAATATTAACTAAGATTTTATTTTAATTCAATCTAAATATCGACTTCTTTACCCTGAACCAATATTTCCTTCAACAGCAATCTATAATAAAATTACAATATAAAATTTTGACAGTCATCTCAATGAATGACTTACAGTGATCTTTTTACTTGACGATAACACCATTCGGTTGAAGCACGATTCAATCACACCTATATTTATGTGAAAATGAGCGATGTCTTCCAATTAAATACAGAAATAGGAAAAAAATCTGATGTTATTACACCATGCTGATGTAATACCAATGCAGTGTTGATCAATAACAAAACGTCGACGTACCTTTCCTTTTTTTCTCTTCACGATATCAAAAGCGTAGCTCTATTCAATATAATCACTGCAATATGTGAAGCGACACCTGTCAGAAGTAGCATCTTAGGTAAAATGAAGTCTATCATCGTATGGATTTAAAATAATATTGCCAGTACTGTTTATAACTTTTCAATATACAATACTCGTTATTACGACGATGTTCTATTTTATGTAGGAGTTTTTAATGCGTGAAATAAACTCCTTCACTGCCTGTTGAAAACTGGAAAAATATTGTGTTTCATTTCTCACAAAACTTTCCTTTTTATAATACATTAAGTTGAGAATTTTAGTAGATATACAGATTATGTTTTGAAATAGATGTACATGATAAATGTCGTAGAAAAAAATACATAAACCTTTTGATATTGACCACCACTGTATTTTCATTTCAATGCTTACGGAATGTCGAGTAAAATCTTGATATATTGGATGCATTTTGGAATGCTAATGTTTTCCTACAAAAATCTTTATGAATTAAATTTTGATCTTTGAAATGCTTACACAATGACCTGCAGGTTCATACTATATCACATATACAAATAACGAATCGATACAACAATAATATGGCACTAAATTCTAATTGTTAAACTGCTAAAATTGTTCATCTCCTAGAATATTTTATGCTTAAAAAAATAGTCAACTAATTATTAATCTTTTTTCTTGCATGGATAATGTTTTCGCTGATACTTATTCATATTCACTACATTCTATATACTGATGCGCATCATGAATGAACCTTAAAGAATACTGCACTAATATGAATCTTAATTTCAAATGAACAAGTTCTTTTCAATTATGGTATCAATTATTCGTTCAACATATTTCACATAAATTTACCACTGGGTATTAGTTCTAATGTTGAACCAACCGATTACGAGCATCTTAGCGACCTCTACTCCTTCAATTTTGATTCGCAATTGTTTCACTTTCTGGGTCATTGTTTCGTTCGTTCATTCGGACGATAAAGGGAGAAAAAAAAATGAGCATGACAAGAAGAATTGTTCGTCAGTTGAACTTTCCAATGGACATGTTTATTGCATCCATAGAAAAAAAGAACCCGATAAAGATCTTTCTTCCTATATTATTATCGGTTGATTGTATATTGGGAAGGACAAGAATGCTATTTCCTTCCTTATATTTGTTAGTCTAACGTTATATTTCTAGATATGACATGACCATGAACGGATTACCGAAAGATCGTTCGGAAGTACTCAATCTTATAAATGAATGGAACTCCACTCGACTTGATTTATTTAAAATAAGTGAACCTAATGAAGTTCTGGACTTCTATGGCGTTATGAGATTTTACTTTCAAGATGCTGAAGATAAAGTAACCACCAAATGCATACGTGTTGCAAGCACGGCTACAACATTAGACGTGATACGTGTTCTAATGGAAAAATTAAGGCCAGATATGAAAACATTACCAAATGAGAAAGATTATTGTATTTATGAAGTTCATCCAAATGGAGGTTTGTTTTTTATTTCAAAAAAAAAAGATTATTATTCATTTTTTTGCTTTGCTTCGTAGATGGAAGAAAATTAGAAATGGACGAAAGACCATTATGGGTGCAACTTTATTGGGGAAAAGATCAAAGAGAAGGTCGCTTTGTTTTGCAAAATGCAAAACTACCTAAAGTTAGTATTCATGTTTGAAAAGCCTAATTCTGTTTTATTTATTAACCTTTTTTTCTATAGATATCAAAACCAATCGGAGGTAGTTTTAAGGAACGACGATCATCGAAACGGGAATCAAAGAAAAAGAAAAAGCAAGACAAGGTTGGTTTAAAACGTTTTTCTTTTAATTTTCTTTGAACAGATAATCAAAATCCGTTGAATATTGCATGTTTCTTTCAATATTAGGATTTCCTATCGGCGAGAGTTAATCGGTAAACATAATGCTCTGCTTTTGGTGTCTGCTTACTGCTTATATTTTTGTTCTTATTTGGTGTTGTGAATTAATTGTCTCTAATATTAAAAAAAGTTAAGCTTTGTAACAGTTTATCAGTATTTCTATGTCATCCTATTTCCAGAAACGATTTCGTTGAAAGCCTATCTTTCTATGAATTCTTACCCGGACGGGTGTATACCTGAGTTTTTTCATTAGTATATGGCATCTTCTAATGCACATAACCAGATGAGGATCAAGGTTTAATGTGTTCGTTGCCTCCTCTTTGATAAAGGTCAATGTGAAGTTGAAATAGTGTACCTCAATAGACTGCTTTCATTTCTTCTCTATTCAGACTCGAAGCTGAATACAAACCGGGAATAAATAAAAAAACCCACAACTATCTATTTATGTGATTTCTCCTTGAGCTTATTTAAACCTCATTGCATTCATAAGTACTATAAAAATGATTCACTTACCAAGTTCTTTTAAAAAAATAGCTACTGTAGTATGAATCAATCAGTTCATCAATAGTCACATTATATGCAATATTTCCCTATGATACCATAATGTAATAAAAGAACTTTTTTGAGTCATATTTTTTCGAAAAAATCTGGTTTATTTCGCTTTTTCTATAGAAATCAATCGAAATGGTTGGTCCAATCATGTAAAAATAACTTTTTTCCTTTCTCTATTTATTTAATGCCCATACACTTTTGTATATATATAAATATATATATATATATGCTTACGTATAAAATCATATTTTATTCTATGGAATATTTAAATTCATAAAAGAGAACGAGAAAAAAAACCCTTTTTCATCAATTGTTAAAATTGACTTATTTGTCACGCATATAGAAAAATGGTATTGATGAAAACGATACTCAATCATCGGCTGTGACACCAACAGCTATTGGCGAATCATTATATAAATCAGTTCCTGAAACAAATAAATTCACTCGGTCATTATCAAATCCTGAAATGGTTAAAAAGATTCAACAAGATCGTTTAAAACAAAAGTTTATTAAAATAAGTACAAAAGAAGGAGGTATGATACATTCTATCTATTAAATAAGTATAAATGAGAATTTCCATTTTCTAGGTGGTACTATGAAAGTATTTGGCGATGCATTAAATCCATCAATACCTTATAAAACATTTCTATTATCAATCAAAGATACTGCTGAATGGGTTGTTAAGGAAATGCTTGAAAAGTATGGTTTAAAACATGAAGATCCACAAAACTACTGTCTTCTTCAAGTAAATATTTGTTAGAGATTTATTACTCATTTTTTTAATACTTATTTTTTACTAAAAAGATTGTTATTCCACCACGTGATCAAATGGATAATAAAACAATAAAAGAGGTTATTCTACATGACAAAGAATGCCCACTAAGTATGTGTTTAAGTCATGCACAAAAAAATGAAGGTAAGAAAAATAATTTAATTTGAAACTAAAAATTTTATTGTATTTTGTTTTGAATAGGTTCAATTATGTTTAAAGTTGTTAAGTGCCCATCAGAATATATTGAAATTCGTAAGCGTCTTCGAGCACAAGAATCAGCATTAGATACAATTCAAGCGCCGTCGATTCAAGATCGAACTATCAATGATCATCTTTCGATGTTTGTGGAAGTTAAAAATGGTAGATTATTCATTTTTGTTTTGTCTGGTATATCCTTGAGAAAAACACATTTCTTTCTTTTTACAGATGGAACTGATCTCACTACACCACGCGTGTTTAAAATTCATCCGAATACTACATATGTTGGTCGTGATGCAAAAGCTGGCACTGGAAAGCAATATTTTTATGTAACTATTTTAACTAAATAAATAAGTTCGCAGCTTTATTTTTCTTTTTTGAAAATTTAGATTGATGGTGTTGGTATTGATCGTGATCATTGTACGATTCATAATCAAAATGGTATTGTTACATTAACTCCTCGTGGCGAAATATGGTTAAATGGAAAACTTGTTTCGACACCATTTGTTCTTCAACATGGTTCATTAGTTTGTTTTGGACGAAATTCAACATTTCGTTATTGTGATCCACAATTTGTTCAAAAAACCTCAACAAAATCATCAAATATAATTCCTTCGAAACCATCACAAATCAATGGTGATAAACCAGCAATTCATAGTTCATTATCAACATTACCAACAGCTGGTATGAAAAAGTTGAATAATATTGAATCGAATACATTACAAGTACGACCACCGAAAGATTTACAACAAAAGAAACCAAATATGATAGTTGAATCAGGGTAAAAAATAAATAAACTTTGTTCGTTGTTTGTGAATTCTTTTTTTGTTTTATTTCAGAACAATGATTGATGTTCTACCTGGTTTATTAGAAGTTCCTGCAGAAAGTAAGAGATTATTTATACTTCTAAGGTTTCAATAAGAATAAAAGTAAATAGAAGAAGTCTATGAAATGCTTAAGAGATATTCTAAGAAGGGAGTTATTTATAAAAATAACAGTATCAATTCTTATGATATATTCGATTAACATATCGATATTGCTTGGTAAACTAGTCGGTGAATGTTTGGTGATATAGATTGTTTTTAGCAATTGCCTCTATTTCCGGCAAACGTACGTAGTCAGTCAAATCAACAATTAGCATTTCAGTGTAGCAAGACGTGCTTTATTTATGAATATATAATAATAATTAACATGAGAGTATCTCGATGTTAAAGGGCTAACCTAAGTTAATTAACCCTGCCATCCATATGGATCAGTCTGTTCTACGTAACATTATGATTATGGTGATGGAGATAGATATATATTAAATGTTATTTATAGGTCATATTTGTAGTGCTTCAGACACCTTGTTATATATATTTATTTATTGTTCATCTGTTACTCTAGTTACATGCATGAACAGCTTTGATTGATGAAAACGGATGAGATAGAATAGAAATATTCTCTGTTGCATAATGTAAACTGATGAAAGACGAAGATATTTTGTAGCACTTAAGATTCCTGATAATTATAGTTCATCAATGTCTAGAATTATCGTATTTTTAGTAACTAATTATATTCTATTTGCAAGCTAGGATCAGTTTTTATGAAAAGAAATCTATATTTCAAAATATCATTGGAAATGTAGAGTTTTGCCGACTACAGTATGTGATGAAAGGTTCCTACATTACAGATAAAAGCAATTTTTTTCCATTCAACAGTATCTACTTGATTTCTGAATAGAGTACGAGCTGCATAAAACACTTGTTCTCATTAGAAATATCTGATAGTAATGAGCATGAAAAATAATAATCCATTGATGTATAATAACTTCATACAAGAATATGTTATAGGATAGGACAGTCAAAACGATTCTATCAGGCGTATTTTGATTTTGTTTCAACTACTTCCAATCCTAATCGTCATTCCGATAGGTAGTTGTATTTATAAGAAGTGTTTTCAAAAACGAAATTGATTAGGAGTTTTCCGAAAATTCAATCGAGAAAATTGACTCCTGAATTTCTCTCATTTGGACCACATAAACACAATTTTACTTGAATTGTCTATGATAATCAAGCATGAGATTATGAAAGATCGCAACTTCTTCTAGCTTTCTATGACTTACTGTAAAATGAACTCATCAACGTCGTAGAATAATGCATGATATTGACACATCTGACTGAAAATAAACACTGATTACAATCATAATTTGAAAACATTAATCTTAAATCTAACTTTATTTAGCTGAAAATCGATTTCTTCATGCTATTTTTGATAATTATCCATTAACTAACATACAATTCCGTCTATCACCTGTTTATACACTTTATATGACATTACGACATCGTCTTTCACCATATGGAAAGCCAAATTTTCCACTTGTACAAAAACAAGAAAATATTATCTCATTGCTGTATCGTATTGAAGATATGATTAATACAAAGATTGAAGTATGCCAAGAAAAATATTCACTTTTGTTTTGATTATAGTTTTTGTTTTTAAATAATCAAGGAATGTCATGAACATGGCGGTTATCTTGCATATTGGATAGCGAATACATCTGAATTGCTTTATTTCATTAAACAAGATCGCGACATATCAAAAATTTCTCATGATATACAAGATCGTTTAGCTGAATGTGTTCAACGGTTATTTCGTTATTTAACACATCTAGTACAAAATGAATTAGACAAATACTTAATTTCCTTTACAAATCCACAAGATGATGTTGAACGTGATGTTTATATTGCATTCGGTAATTAAATCGTTTTTTTCCGCAATTTTAAAATATAATTTAATTCGTTTTTCAGAAGAAACTAGCTCAACCAATACAAAACTATCTGATTTACGTTGGATAACATCAGAGATGAATTCAAATAATTATCATCAAGCAACGTTAGGTGATATACTTGCAACACTTTCATCAATCATGGATTTGTTACGTAAATGTCGTGTTAATGCTGCATTAACAATTCAAATGTTTTCACAAATATTTCATTATATAAATACATGGTTATTTAACCGAATCGTTTGTTGTCCCGAATTGAAATTATGTGCACATTTTTGGGGAGAAAAACTAGCTTTACGTTTGAAATCAATCAGTGATTGGGCACAACGGCAAGGTTTAGAATTAGCATCGGATTGTCATCTAACGAAAGTTAATCAAATTTGTTTATTATTACAAAATGCTAAGCGCGATGCACATGATGTTCAACAATTAATATCTAACAATACATTTAAACTTAATTCAGTACAAATTAAACAAATATTAAATAATTATGTTTTAAATAGAAATGAATCGCCTATTTCACCTACATTTAGTCAAGCGTAAGTAATAAAAAATAGGATAGAGAATTTTCTAAATTAACTCGTTCGAGAATAAAATCTTATGCACGATTTAGGCGTATTTATCGTAGGACAGTAGGCTTCATCAACGTATCTTATATGCGAATGAATTTGTAGTGCAGCCAAAATATTGTATTCATTTGCTTATTTTAAATTTAAGAGCTTCATCATTCGATACATAGTGTGGTTAAGAGATCATCATTGTATATGTACATGGAATGAGTTAATTTATGATTCAAAAAGTCTTGTGCCAATAAAGTTGCTCAGAAAATCATAAATGGTGAGAGTAAGAATTTTGTGAAAAGTCTCAAATTCTGATGTTGGAAGAAAAATTCATAGTACCGTTTGTGTTACTAAAAATTTCGTATTTTAAATTGCATACATATCAATGTAACAATCTAGAAAAAGAAGCACGGTATTGATTGTTTTCAGACAACAATCCTAGTGATAATTTTACCCTGAAGGATATTCTGATCGAATATTCGAAAACAATCAAATTTTTCATTTTAACAACCTTTCAACTGCTCTAATCAATCACCTTTCAATCGAGTGTTACATTCTGCACCCCATACGTCGTCTATTATTTTAAAACAAAACACCTTAAGGAATTTTCAGCACTTATTCCAACTTGATGATTGACTGATGATTGATTGATGATTTGTTTCATCAATAAAGATTAAAGATTATCTTGTTCGCCATTAAGCTCGGTATCAATACGGTTTTTATGTAACCAATCTCGTTCAAGGATCTTTTTGATATTATAAATAAGAATGGTGCATCAGAGAATGTGATGATATACTATGATCAAGTTAACTTTGATAGTCAATTAGAACTATATTTTCTCCTTATATAAGACTTATTTTTGCTGCCAATACTCAAAACTGAACATTTTGACTTGAGATTTTTGTAGAAACGTACACAAAATTATATACTGAAAAGAGGATAATTAATTTTTTCTTCTAGTCTTCTTGCTGCCGCCTATAAACAAGTCGACGAAAATTTACGTCGTGAAGGTGTACTTGTTCAATTAGCTGAAGAACCTGAACTAAATTTACCATTTTTATTACCTGAAGATGGCTATACATGTGAAAATTTACGTGGTATACCACAACAATTATTTGAATTCATTGAACCGATGAGTCGTTCATCAATATGTCGATTATTTACTAATCCCCATAGTCTTGGAATGTGGACTGAATTTATGCATTCACAAACTGTAATTTAGAAACTAATTTTTATTTCCTCATATTTATAAGTACTTGTTTATTTGCTTAGAATGAAAATGGACTTACTAATATTAATAATAATAATGATGGTACAAGTAGCAGTGTCGAAACTATAACGTTAAATAAAAAGGGAAATAGTCTTGGTTTAAGTATTGTTGCTGCAAAAGTATGATCAAAGAGATCTTTTTTTCAAAATCTCATTTAAACGATTTTTCTAGGGTGAATCTCAACAATTTCAAGGCATTTATATCAAAGCTATTGTACCAGGTGGTGCAGCTGAAGATGATGGACGTCTTCAAGCTGGCGATCAAATACTTTGCGTTGACAAAATCAGTCTTATTGATATCACACAAGAACAGTAAGAATAAAATTATATTACAAAAACAAAATTTTTAACGTATTTATGTTTATTTTGCAGAGCTGCTGAAGCTCTTAAACAATGTGGACCATTAGTAGCGTTACAGGTTCTTAAAGATGCAGCAAATCGTCAAGGTCTTTCAGCTTTACTTGCTAAACCATCTGAAAATCTTCATCACAATCATCAACCGCAGCAACTAGCTCGTTTTCCTGCAACATCAAATCCATCATTGTTATCATCACATCAACATCAACAACTTTCATCTTCAGCCAATGCTTTAAAAACTGCAAGTAGTCATGAACGTTTATTAACTCATAGCAATGGACAACAACAGCCACCACCGCAGCAACATCATTTTTCTACCCTTGGTCATCCAACTCATCACCATCACCAACAAGTTCATCATCATCAAAATGGCCCACCAACAATAATGCAACCCCGACCAGCATCTCGTTCTCAATTACCCAACACTTCATCGTCCTATGAATTCGTTTATAACGCTAAAAGTGCTCCAGTAAATAGTAATGGTAATAATAACCATCATCATCAACGTCTCATTCAACATGATAATCAACATCGATTAATTCAATCGTCACGTTCAGCACAAATATTAATCGATGAAGAAACAAATGATGATTTATTAAACGAATATACATTACAGCAACAACAACAGCAAACACAACTACAACAGCATCAATCAAATCCAAATCTATTTCATCCAAATCAAATACAATATTCAGCAATCAATAATCGTAATCAAACATTCGACTTACCGAAACGAACTTATGGCCATGAAAATCATATGATGAATGGAAATGAACATGATATGGATGATCATCACGATCAATATGAAGTAGATGAAGTAGAAGAAGAAAAAGAAGATGATAATGAGGACGATATTCAACCAACAGCTTTCATTCGATCAGCTAGTGAAAGACAGTCATTTGGTGATCGAAACTTATCAACAGCACCACCATTAATCTTTCGAGAAGACGTTCCACCAACTCAAAATGGTTTTACCAACGGAAATCATCAAATAAAACCTATGAATCATGCACAATCAGCTATTGGGCCAACTCTAGCTCCAAAACCACCACCGAAACCCATGATTAGTACTTTAGCACTAATTAAGCAAACTAATCCAGTAAGTTAGATACAATCTATAACTGTGAAGAATATATTTCTTTTTTTTTTGTATCAGATAAATGATGTTGATATAGCAAATCGATTATCAAAAGCAAGTTTATCATCATCATCCGATCATTTAGTTTCATCAATACGGTAAGTTTCTAAAAGTTACTATCATTCATATACATATATCAACTTCGACGAGAGAGAATTAAATTTTGAAGTGGACGATTTTCTATACGTTTTGATCTCATTCGAACTAAATGACGTTGAATCTATAGAGTTCTATCAATCAGTATTACTTCTTCAAAAAACAAAAAACGTCATTGTTTTTATTTATTTAAAGAAAACCACGTCCTCAAGAACCAATTAAATTAGCAAATTCACGTCAAAATAATATAAGTGAATTACGTTTAATACGAATTCATGATTTACTGAATAAGAATGAACGTACAGATCAAGAAGAAAAAGAACTAAAGTATATTAAATAGTAAGAAAATTTCATTAAGTTTTGTACTTTAATTTGTTAAGTAATCTAAAATTGGAAAATGAATTTGATCGCCGTGTTGAAGAATTTAATTCACACACAAACGGTAATGACAATGATGACGAACGTGTCAATATTATTCCTGTAAGTTTATTGGAACTTTTGAAAACCAAAAAAAAAAAAACGTTCGCCTAATAATCTTCTATATTGATAGATTTCTGTATTACCAACGCCATCACCAAGTGCCACTGATGAAATGAATGAATTTGATGAAAAGTAACGTATTATATTTAGTTTTTCGCTGTAAATCATTTTCTCTTTCATAATTCAGATTAAAACGACGCCTTGAACAGTACGAACATGATCGACAAATTGAACGCGCACATGTCAATCGTTTACAAGCAAAACGTGAAGCTGAAATTGAAGCACGTCTACGTAAAGATCGAGTATGTATTTTTGGAATAATTCATTTTCATAAATGAAAAATGTTTTCGTGCTTATTAAGGATCGTGATGTTCGTACTGATCGAGATATGCGCGACTTAAAAATTCGTCGTATGTCTGAAGAAGATAGATCGATTGAAGCCAAAAAAGAGCAAGCTCGTTTATCAAAACATGTGGTGAGTAAATAAACAACAGAGAAGAAAATATTGATAAAGTCCTTTATTTTACTTAGCGTTTACCTGATTCACCACCTTCAACAAACGAATCAATGAAACATTCATCTTCAATTGGTCATATTCCAGTTACAAAAGATCATGTTGATTATAAAGTTTCACCGCCGGTTCCACCTCCGCCACCAACAAGAGATAGTTCATTTGTTGTAGCCAATAATATTAAACAATCGTTAATACAACGTGTATCAAAGTAAGATTTATTTCATGATTACAGAATTTTTTGAACTTGATTTCGTTTTCTTTTCCCCAGTGATCACCAATTAATTAGTCCACCATTACCTCCTCCACCTCCACCATTGACTGAATCATCACCAACATCCAGTGTTGTTGCAATACCTGTATCATCACTGCATGCTGTTGAACGAATAACAGCTGAATTGACGCGTCGCGATGATTTATATAGTAATGACGATACATCAAATCATCACACACCATCTGTTATTGGTTCACAAGAAGTTTACTTGGATCCACGTTTTCGTGCAAAACGTATTCAACAACAAAAAGATAATCTCAATGGTATTAATAAAGAAAATTTAAATAATGATTCAAGTGGTGTTACGACTGAAACCATGTCATTTCGAGATAAATTAAAATTTTTTCGTAAACCACCTGATCAAGCATGAATGACTTATTTTGGTTTGTTTGTGGCTTTTGTTTAATGTGCAATTTCATTTCTTTTTTTTTCATCTTATGGCGTCTGTTTTGTATACTCTAATTCTTCATACTCAGGCTTGTTTCTTCAATTTTCGTCTTGTACATATATATATGTAATGACTTCAGCTTTTTCATTTCTAATACTCTTCCCTTATATCAAATTAACAAAAAAATCAAAATTTAGACTTTAGATATGGGATAATCTCTCATTCTCTTTTTTTTTGGACATTAAATATATACCTATATCTTTATAAATATTGATATAATCGTTCGAAATAAAATACATGCTCTTACACAAATATTTCCTTTCTATTATGATAAGCATGAATGAATTGCTTTTTATAGAATGAAATATAGATTTTATTTCATTCATATCGATGACGAAACTCTTTAAAATCAACTTCGATTTCCTATAATTTATTATCGTTGATAGAGACGTATCCTGTTGAAGATACAATCTAATATATATATATAAGCATCAATTAGATTTTGCAATTTGTTTCTTGCAAAAAAAAAAACTTTTCAAAACAAGAAACATTCTTCCGCCTTGTTGCTTTTCTTCATATAATTCAAAACATTTATTCAATGTAGGTTGCATATTTTGTTTTTATTCGTGGTCTGTGAATTAGCAACCATGAATAATTCGAGAGATTTCAATTAGATGATTTGTGTATGCGTGCTGTAACTACACACATGAAAACAGTCTTTAGAGAACGTTGTTTAAACAAATCCTTCTTCGTTTATATCAAAATCAAATTTGTTGAATTACGTGTACTTTTTTTTTAAATTTGTTTGTGCATGATAACAAATTCGAATGCCTTTTCTGTTTCTCAAAATTTAAACCAGTAACATTTTTCTTTGATATGAATTGTGGTGAATGTGCCAGCTGTCATATTCAGTTTGTCAAACATCGAAAGCTGTTTTTTCTTGCTCACTGATTTTAACACTCTTGGTATTTATTTTTCTGAAGAACTACACATGATGCATGAATTCGAGATTTGCTGCAAAATAAACATGCAGCAAAAAAAAGGATAGTCTCGTATTGGTTAAGATTGCAGTGACTATAGACACCCTATTTCATAGTCAATTATTCGAAATTTTATTTCATAAAGTGAGTAAATACGTAGACATTTATTTTCTTTGGAATGATTAAAGACATGCAAATGCCATTGTTTATGAGGTACTTACCTAAGAGTTACTTTCACTCACAGTAGTGATTTGAGGAGGAGGAGGAGGATGAGGAGATCAGAGGGTACCACCTACGAAGTATGAAATATTATCGTTGTTTCTTGATAGGATTCTGCGATTTTACTTCTATTTTTATTGTGTAATTCTAAAGAAAAAAGTATATTTTGTGACATCTCATTAAATCGATCAGTTCTAGGCAAAAATCTTCTGATCGATATTCTCACCTCTTGATTAATATAATATTTTTCTTTAAGACTATTTCATTGTACAAACGGTCTCGTCGAATATATTCGTCTTTACTTGTGACCGTAGACGAAGTACGGGTCTATTATTTTATCTAAGAAAAACTAATTTTACATACAATGTTCGACTTAAGTTGTTGAATATTGAGACTAAGCCATCCGCATCTAACTTAGAGAATAATTCCTATATTTTGACTTTTAATAGTTAACATTGTACTAGTAATCTATGTACTGAACAAAATAACCTCGAAGACATTTATTGTATTGAGTACATGAGTGTATAATCAGCTTAGCACACGAAAAAAAAAACATACTTTTCAGTAGAGGCTTGTGTATCGGCAGGGAATAAATTATATTTACTGTTCTTGAATAGAACTTATTGCATCAAAATTTAATTGCTTTAGGTAATATTCAAAAGTTGATTCTAGCACATTTTATGTTTTATTTGGATTACTGTCGAAATTTACTTTCATTTTGTTTTTCTTTGTCTATTGTGTCATTTAATTGATATGAGAATAATACTATATATGTCAAAATGAGTAAAGGTACAATAACAATAATATTTTTATTAGTTCTAATATTATTGTACCGATATAAAAAAAAAAAAAAAAAAAAAAAAAAATATATATATATATATAAAAAGTAGATATTGTCACGCAAAGCAGAGATCGATGATTGAAGACAAGAAAAAGAAAAAAATCTGTTTCTTTTTATGTTGACAATAGGCGCATGGTGCAGAATTCAAAAAGAAGATGGTTACAATTATAAGATAAAGAAAAAAAGAAAAATAATGTGTTTCTAAGGTAGAAGATCAAGTTTTCGATAAGAAATTATTTGTACCATTGTTGTCATCTTATGAAAGAAATGGTAAGTACTAGTTATCATACATAACGCTCTTATAAAGTTATTCAAACAACCGACCAGAGTACGTATATGAAATGATGACATGTGAGTATATTATGGATGTAAACAAAACTCATGGTCGAGTTAAATAATGCACTTTAAAAAACAATAGGAGTAGTTTTCCTTGAGAGTTGGATATTTTTGTAAGTGGTATATTTTAATCAAACTTGAAAGCGATCCTTCTTAAAAAATTATATATATATATAGAACATTTGAGAGTTTATTTTGAACAATGGAACGAGAGCATAGCCTTTAGCTCGCAAGAAAAAAGGATTCTTTGTGTATTCACACTTCAATCATGTTCTTTCTTTTTTCTAATCAGAGGCATTCATTATCTTTGGACTAACTATATATCTCTTTTTTGCGTACATAAAAACACTTTTTGCTTTCACTCTTGCGCGAAAAACATTTCCACAATACTATAAGGCTTTTATCTTAAACCGTTTATATATAAATTACTTTTTTTTTACTAATTGATACCTTTGAAAATATGTCGTATGATTTCATGTTGATTCTTCTCATCATAGATGACGTTTTCACTGATACACTCTAAACTTGTTGTAACTATTTACACGTATTCATGGTCATTTTTTTTTTCATTCCTCTCACCCTACAAATATTATTCTAATGCTCAAATATTATGATTTACATACATTAGAAATGATTGTATACTTAACTTTTTCATCCTTAATGTACTTCTGACTTTGATCGATGCTCATCGGACATGTCTTTAAGGATTTGCAAACATATATGGATCTTATTGTGATATTGAATAGAATACGTTTGTTATTTTATATGTTTTGTTTCAACAAAATATCAATAGACGTTTAACTTTCATTTTTTGTCATACTTGCACGATCGATTCTAGCCGGTATTTCTTTTTTCATATTTAATTTACGTTAAGATTAGTAATCGTATGTTATAGACATGCAGAAAGAAGTTGTTTTTGCATGAAGTAAAAAATTAAAAATCTAAGATTCGACCGAAATGAGTAAACGTAACAGAGAAAGAAGAAAAAATGAAGTATTGCAGGATGTTGTTTTTCTAACAACCTACGCACGCATTTTTCAAGAATATGCCATAGAAGAAAAGGGGTGTGTAAATTTGTTGCGTATCATTTTTCTTTCATGTGAAGTGTCTGATTAATAATTAGAGAGTTAAACAATGTAATAGGAAAATTAGAACCTTATCCTACTCACATGATCATATCAAATATTCAATTTTTCTCTTGTTTTTTTGTTATTCTTATCATTCACACTTCTATGAGTGTTTATCCGCATTAACCATTGAAATGAAATCATTTCTTCGCAGATTTAGTTGCATATTTCTCATTTCTTTTGCCTTTCCACTGAAGTTGAATATTTTATTATGAAAATGAAGGTAATAATATTTATAAATATTTCTAACGCAACATAAACCTACGGTTGCTAGATATAAATTATTAAAAAAAGATAATTTTTCATTAAATTAGATATGGATATTATGCCTTAACAAATAGGTAAAGTCAACTGATGGACATCTTAGAGAATACGAGAGTATCGAGAGAGAATTGTTATAATGATTCAAAAAGAAAAAAAAGCAAGAGAACGAAAAGAAGGTTATCGTAGTGGGAAGAGATCAGAAAACGGAACTGCACAAGGCGATAGATAGACGCATCAATGTGTCTCAATTAATAGGTCAGATTTATCTTTCTCTACTTCCTTGTCGTAAACAAAACGATAGTCACGTTCTCCAAGATCAACAAAAAATTATTGACAGCACTGTTGTCTCAAGGTCCTATCTATTCTAGTAGAGGTTGTTCATTAGTCTCTTCTTCGCTTGTATTGTTTCTTTGTTTTATTGACAAACTTCGATCGTAGATGAGCAGAGTTGCTTTCAGTCATTTATTGCTCTATCATTTATAATTCGCATACATAGATTTGTCCAATGGCTTTGCACAAATTTTCCAAAATAAAATCATTTCATGTTGATTATTGTGGTTGTACAGCAGCAACATCACTATTAAGTGAGCAATCAATACGAGATGCAATTAATTTTATTCGACAAAATAAACCAAAACGTGAATTTATTAAAACAACTGTATCGGTATCGAAAGATGGTGTAAAAATTATCTATGGTAATGATCATAAATATTCCACACATGTGCCAACATCTATGATTGCTGGCTCAACTACAGGAAAATCTTCTCTGCATGATACTGTTGGTATGTAATTTAGATAGAAATATGCAAATTTATAAAGTCAAATAATAAATTTCTGTTTTTTTTTAAACTAGGTGTTGTTTATATATCACCACTTACGGGTCGTCATTATCCAGCATTTATTCATATATACCGGTGTGATTCAACGCGTACAGCTCAAAAATTATTATCTCGCCTCCGTGCCTACACTCATAATGAAAAGCATCGCTCGAAAATTACACAACTTGAACAACATTTACTTCATCAAAATTTACTTAATCTAGATCATTATGATAGTTTAAAATTACAATCAGAATCATCAAATACGGCAACTTTAAATTCTGATAAAACAAATACAAATATTTCAACTTCATCAACTAATAGTAGTAGTCGACAAGATAGAATAGATCCGGTTAAATCAATTACAGAAGAATTTCAGAAAAAACTTGAATCACAAGAACCTCTTCTATTTCCGCCAAAAGACTATGATACAGTACGTGCTAGTCATGGAAATATTCAACGAGCTCAAGCATGGAAAAGTACAGAGGTAACAGAAAATAAAATCATTTTCATTGAATGAAACTTTAATATATACAAAATTTTTATAACATGGTGCGTGATCACTTGTACTTCAAATAAAGGGTTATCTTAACTTGCTTCGATGAATCAATAACTCATTATATGTATTGAACAGAGAATTCTTCTTACGAAAAAAAGCCTTGTTGATGTCAGTATATGTATGTATGTATGTATGTATGTATACATAAATATGTCAAAAGAAAAAAAAGAGATAAGATGTCAACTTAGTGAACGGTTGTATTCTCTCTTTTTTTTGATCTGAGGTAACTACCGCCATTGTTTCTTCCTCATGATGTTCTCTTGAGTAAATACATACCTTCTCACTACTTTCGGTGTCTCTCGCATTTTACGTTCAACGACAACAGTTTAATCGCATCATTCATTGATAAAGAGCTTTGCATTTTCGTTTTTGTTCTTTATTCTGTCTGAGTAAAAAGACTAGTCGATAAACATTTTTGTACGTGCTGTTCGAATCAAATGACATCATGGTTCATTTCAAACATGATAGCTTAAAACCAACAAATTTTACGACTATTTTAACTACGAAATTTCGCTCTACTTGTGGCTATTGTTTTAGATCGAAGGTGATCGACAGTTTTTTTTGTCTTGGAAACAAATTCGTGGAAATTCAATAAAAATAGATTAAATGATTTCGATTGTTTTTCTTTTTTAGCCGACTATTGTGGGTTATACACCGATTGATCCAGATAATAATCAAACGCGACGACAAACATTTTCAAATTATAATTCAGCAAATCATTATTCTAGCACAGATGAACTTCAAAAATCAGGACTTAACAATGGTGAAATTGATAAAAATGGCAGACCACGTTTTGTTACTCAGAGAAGTGACACCACTATGGATCCGGTACACAATTAAGAATAAAATGAATTTTTAAAAAAATTAAAATTTACCATTCTTTTTTTTTTCATTTAGGTGGAAACAGTCAGTTTAGCTTTTGACTTTCTTAAAGATGAAACAGGTTCGATATTCACTGAGAATGATGGCAATATTGAACACCTTGACACTGAAAAACAAGATAAACAACCAATTTTTCGTTTTCGACCACCACCAATTACTGCTATTACGAAGTGAGTCTTTTTTTTCTCTCATTGGTTTTTCATATTGTATTTGATATTATATAGAAAACTTTTTACGCGTAATAACAATTATGAACTGTCGAATAATTTACCGCAACAAAATCCAGCATTGAAAAATGAATTAAATGCATACTATCATAATGCTCATTATCAACAACGACAAATGCCGTATGGAAATCGAACTCGTTCTGAAACAAATTTATTGTATGAACCACAACCTAGAATGCATCTTAGTCCTCGTTATGAAAGTCGTCTTGTCAATGGAAGCGGTGCACCAATTTCAACAAATCCACTTTGGGCAGCTTCATCTCCAATAATGATCGGTTCACAACCAAACTTGTTGTCATATCAAAGTTGCATCACTCCAGCACCTCACTATTATCAGCAGCAACAGCACCAACTTAGTTCACCTCTTGAACAACGAATTACTTCAGCACCTTTACAACATCCTCTCTATGCGAGTTATCCGAATAATAATGCAGCTATCATGACAAGACTACATGAAAATCAAATGAAACGACCAGTAGTATCAGCACCGCCGCCACCGCCACCACATTTACAACCATCACATCTAAATAGAAAACAAACAACACAATCGCAGTTCCTCGATACAAATGAATTTATTCTACGTGCATCCGATGGATCATTAATGAGTAGTTCTCAATATTCTATTCGACCTGTAACAGGTGTATCACGAAATCATAGACCTCATTCAATTAATGTAAATGACCACGATAATTCTATGCTTGATGTATACTATTGAATTTTTCTCGATTATTTTGTCTGTTTCTGTTTTCTACAAATTTATATTCGTGTGTCTTTTTATTCTGGAAAGAGCAGTGACACAGCAATTGGTCCTATGTAAGTACATACAATCAACTATAATTAATGAGATCATATCTACTTTTCGCTGCATTTTTCGTATATCATGTGTTACATTTTCCATCAAGTAAATATTTTCGAATGACCGCATCATGATAAAATAGTACAAATATAACTTCTATGAATATTCAAAAAAAAATACTACTATTATCATTAAAATCATGCTGAAAACGTCTATCTTTCATAAGATTTCTACAATTGTACACGAAAAAAATGCAATCTAGACAAATTGCTTTAACTCTTCCATACATATATTTCGTTAGTGATACTGAAATTCAATAGCCAATATTTGATTGAACTGCTACGGGGAACACATTTAATTTTGTTTCGACTGCAGATGAATACATTCTACACAATTGACTTGTAAAGGAGAAAAGAAATATTCTTATGTAACTATCTTAACATTTGTAATCTCAAATTTTATTTACACAGTAAGTCGTATTCATGGCAGTGTCAATAAAATTCTGAAATGCATTTTAAAAATTTCCAATGATACTTCTATTTATTTTTCCGTATCATCGCCAATCGAGGGTCAATATTTATTGATCTAAATTTGTTAGAATGGTCTAGAAATAATGATGCAAGTGCTAATAATAGAATAACAAAAAATGACTATATCCACCCATACTATCAGACAAACTTCAGACCACTGCCATTGCCTACGCTCGCTGTTTCAATGCCAATAGCGAGGTAGGAAATACAGTGAGATGAAGATCCGAAATTTATCTGGACCAATGTTTGTCAATTCGACTACTGTCCAGTAATGCTTCGCTCCTACGTATATCCAAGCGAGGTATAACTGAACAGTGGTCTATTTGGCAGAAAATGAAACTTTAAACAAAAAACAGTTCTGATCAAATTGAATATTGACGCAGTCATTTACTGGCTGCTGTACTTCGCTCACATCAAAATCGCGTAGCGTGGCACAAGCAGAACAGTAGCTTACACACATCATAGAAATTCGATAAAAATAAACAAAATAATGAATAAAGTCTTACATGCATTGACACCGTCCCTGCATCTCCCTAGCCGCATCGTTTACTCAAGGGAGGCACATCGAACAGTGAAAATACATTAAGAAATGATAATCCATGGCAAACGATTTTCAAACAGTTTTCACCGGTCACCAGACACGCCGAGTCGTATATCAAAGCGTTCCTGATAACCGGTGATTGCGTCCGAAAAAGTTTCATACTACTTTGTATCCTCACCTTCCTCTTACCAAATCGACGTTAAAAAACAAGTGGAATCATGTATGCATATGACCTTCGCTTTTTATAGATCGTGACAGACGGACGGACGGACGGACGGACGGACGAAACAACCATAGACAAGAGAGAGAGAGAGGCAGAGGGAGAAAAAGCGAAATGATATAATTGGGAGCAAGAGAGTGATGCGTCGACGATGAAAACAATGACTATTCATGTATGTGCCTCGATCATGTATGTTGCCCTCTAATTCATACATATCTGTCTATATCGACGACCAAATATGACGAGAAAAAAAAACAAAGATGTTGGTTACTTCTCTTTTCCATTCAGATTTTTGTTTATTTAAAGCAGACTGAAAGTATCACGTCAAGAATAGAATTCATTTCAAATTGAATTTTCTTAAATGTTGATTCATTTACATTGGAGTCATATGTCTGTTTTTTCTGTTCGCTCAATATGTAACCTTACACTACATTTCCATAATTATTATTGAAAGTTTAAAAGAAGCTTGACAAAAAAAAGTTCGCATTATAAGGAATTATTTTGGTTTCATAAATTATGTCGTATTTCCAAATAAATACGCTCAAAGAAAATCAAATATAGTACAGAAAAAAAAACGAAAATAACAATGAACTATCGATACAGTGTTTACACTAATGCATGTATGTATTTGTTATATTAACAAACAGAGAGAGAGAGAGAGAGCGACATAGATTGACTTGATTAGTGAAATAAAAGAAAAAAAGTACACTGTTCAATGCCTGGAAAGACAAAACAAGAGAAAAAAATTTACAAGTTTATTCGTAGTTCACTTGTTGTTTCATCATCAGGAACATAAGCATGATTAATCTCAATGTCAGTCAACACCGAATGCATTCGTTCATCAGTATCATCTGTTTCAATGTTGCTACTATCTTCAACCACTGAACTTGCTGATATATTTGTATTATCAAGTGTACCACCGGATGAACCGACAAAAAAATTAGCAGCACGTGGTGTTGTGAATGACGCTGATAAAGAGTCATGAAAACTTTCGTATGTTGTTGTTGTGGTATTTGTTGTTGCATTGTTGTCAACAATATCTTCTGAGCTTGATGTACGTAAAGCAACACGTGGTAATTTTGAATCAGAATAACGTTCTGAAGTCAATAATGGACGATCGAATACAAGGTCATTAGTAGTTATACGACTTGTTGTTGTTCGTCTTGATGGTGACGATCCATCATCATCATTATCGTCATCTGAATCGGATGATCCGTTAATGTTCGTTGATGTAAAATTAGAGATAGCATTACCCGACGAATTTAGTATTCGACGCTCTAGAATTTAAAAGTTTATCAAATACAGAATATACTCGTCATGAAACTATGAACGTAGGTGGAAATATATAATTTTACTCAATATCTTATCTATAAAACATGAATTTCTACTATTGATTTGTAAGATGAATGATAAAATCTTAACTCGGGATGATTCATATTTGATTTCAACTATTTTATAAAGAAATAAACCTTATAGAAATCTTATTTGAATTCTCGATGACTTGAAAAGAAATATTGAATAGTCATTAAACTAGTCTATAAACTACAATAGAAGACATCGATTTTGCTAAGATGCTATTTTATTTAACCTGATTGATGCGTTCTTGCAAGAATTGAAACTGAATTATCACTAGACGATGGTATCAATGGTGTACGCTCTGTAATTGTTGGGCCATTATTTTCCTCTTCATCTGAGTTATCATGATTAGGAAATACATAACGTTTACATATTGGACACTGACGTCGATTGTTAACTAACCATGGATCAATACATTTCATATGATAAGCTAAAAATTAAATAATAATCAAATAAAAACATCATAGTTTTAAGAAAATGACACACCATGATCACAAGGTAATATGCGTAATTTTGCACCCTCTTCAAAATCATCTAAACAAACAGCACAAACTTCCCACCGATCACCTTTCACAAATTTTTTTATTTGTAATTGTTTCAGTGCTGAACGGGGTAAACGATGACGACGCAAACGACGTCGTAGTATATAACATCTAACCAACTGGAAAACAAAAATCCGAAATAGATACATTTTTTTTTCATTCAAAATATAATTTTACCGCAAAAACAATAAGAGAAATGAACGATACACTGATGATACAAATAAATGGTATTAAATAAGCACCAAATCGAAATAACTGTTCTGTACTAATTTTTATACGAAATCTATGAATGAGAAGCAAAACAAAATGCGATTCAGTCAATGACAATATATAAAGATATATAAATGAAATACATACTGTGGAGTTGAATTTGTCAATGAATCATTATAGACATAATTTGCAATAATAGATATTCCATCAGAATGAGTTATTAGTGTAGAAGGTATTTCAATATCTTAGATCATAAAGAAGGCTATTAACTATGAACTGTAAATTATCTTTTTTTTTACCTCTCCCATGCGGACTCATTATAATAAGTGAATCATCATAATTGTAAATAATGACTGCGCTGAAATTTGCATTTTGAGCATTTAATACCTAAACATAATGAAAATGCTAGAAAATGATTAAAAAAATGGAAAAGAAATTTTACTTTAAGATCAAAATCACAAGTATCTTCTGATTTTGTACGTGGAATCAATGCAATCCAACGATATTTAGATATTGGAAAATTAGGTACCGGTGCGACTTTTGTACATGCATTTCTTGGATTGGTTAAGGTCACATAACCCTTGAAAAAGCAAATTTAGTAATGAATAGAAAGACAAAACTTTTATTAGTTATCTTACGGTTATGCCACTAGACGTAAATGCTGGACCAAAACCAGCTGGTTGATCATCATAATCTTCAACAAGTTTATTTCCATCATTATACTAATAAATAAATAGAAAAATTAAAAAAATGATTCTAGTTTTCTTCGTCATACCACATAGACATCGGACATGGTCATTCGAATAATTGACAGAAGAAAACATGGAAGAATAAAAGATATGCGGCTCATCATAGTTGATGATCCGTTCAAAATGAATATTAATCACAACAATTAAGTAGTGAAAATTGATTTCAATAATGTCTAAAATAAATTTTGTTCTAACACATGATATGAGTCAATAAAGGAATTTATGAAAACTATTTCAGAGCAAAAAAACGAGAAATGACGTATAGTATATACAATCATGACAATCTTTTTGATACATAAATGCACTATGTGCATATGTTTCTGAAACTGTGTCAAATATTGAAATTTATATATATTTAGAATCAGTGGAATTTTAGTGATCATTTCTGATTAATATTAGCCTGACTATTTTTAGAAAAATTAATAGATGACGCACTGTACCAATCAGCTATGCTCGAGGCACACGAAAGGATTTTGAACTTCATTTACTCTGAAATATTAGCAGATTGATGTTGATGTCTAGAACATGATGGTTGAAACCGGTCTGGAAATTATTTGATGGTGCCGTACCAATCATTTCGTCATTAATTTTCGAGTTCGGTTATTGATGATTCAGATGACGCTACGTTATCACACCAACAGAATTGAAAAGATAAACATGATCAAGACATAAATATGATATTATGAAGTTTTGAACTTTGCCTAATTTTTCGATGAAATTGTTTTCTAGATTAATTGAACTTAAAAAATGATCCTAAGAGATGCATTAATGGATCGCCCCTGAAAATGAGAATGAGTCATCCGCGTCACCTGACAAGTCGATCAGTTGTTGGAACAGTTCAACATTGCTTTGACTGCTAAAATGAATCTAGATCTATTTTTATTACCTTGCAATAGAAACTCAATTCAATTTAGTTTCAAATATTGACAAAGATTTAATAGTCAGCATTATATGTAGGTTGATGCATTTGAAATTTTTTTGTTTATCTACATTGTTAAAGAAAGCATGAAAAAAATTCTTTTTGAATTGATCATTATGACTAAAAAAAACATTTTCTGCATCAATATGTCGTCTATTTAACCATTATTGTCTGCAGAAACAATATCCGTTAATTTCGTTTAACATCCTTAGTCGAATTTTTTTCCAAGGTTTGACCTTAAGATTTGTCCAAAAAATCTCAAAAAAACCATGCGGATAGGACACGAAAATCGCGTTTACAAACAGTATACGTATATACTTGTACGGGTCGATCTTATTTTCAGTTGAAAAATACTCCAATGGGAAAATGATGGGAAGATGAAATTACCATTTTTTGTCTGGATTTTTGTCATACGCGCATGAGATATGCACGACTTTCTTACTTCAAAAGCTCGTGTTTCTCATGTGCAGACCAAAATATGTTCGACTAGAGATGTTACAACAAGAGGCCAACGCATCGTTGCTTTTTTAAACAGTAATGTTTAATAGCTTAGTTAATAGCTTGATTCAATGCAGTTTTTGAATAAATTCTAACGAAAATCAAGCTTCAGTCGTTTGACTGGGGTCACGAAAGTTGTTTTTCATGTGATCAAGATCTGTGATAGAGGGCATTAGGTTCCGATTGAAATGTTACAGTTTAAAAGGCTCTCTATAAACATTCATCAAGCATTTTTGTATGTGATGTTTCGGAAAAATATTTCAATCATAAGTATTTTTAACAAAAATAGCTTGACCTGATGTCGCTAATAGTCACAAGCATAATTATATATTAGCCATTCAAACATGGCATCAGTAGACGTTGAAATGAAGAAGGTCATCGTCACACGGTTGAAAGCAGTGTTTCCAACGGCATGTTTACGCAACAGAAACAAAATGTACAGAACATCTGCTAGTTTTTACTTACACTCTGCTATACACTTGCCCAGAAAAACAAAGTGCACGATGTACACTTTGCTAAAATAGTTTACACTTTGATTTCTTTGATCTCTGAACCTTAAAAGCCGCATATAGTTTTAAATTGATTAAGTATGATATTTTTTTTCGCTAGTGATCAAAATGTTTGTTTCATGAGATCAAAAATAGCGCAAATTATATTTTGTTTTCTAGATTGTGAAAAGTGGGCTTTTGTACACTTTGCTGAAAAAAGTAAAGTGTAATGTGCATTTTACTCAAAAAAACAGAGTGTAATGTACACTTTACTGAAAAAAAAACAGAGTGTACAGCACATTTTGTTTTAGATTTCCATTAGAAACACTGGTTGAAAGTAAAATACCCAAATTACCTAGTCTGTTCATTTTGGTATTGTTTCTTTTATTTATTGTTTAATCAAACAATCTACTAGTTCAAATTCTATATGTCGAATTTTTTCCGATTAAGAATACATTTCCTGTGGTCACTTGTCATTGTTTGATATTAATTCTATTCTTTTTCGTATGATTATATCTTATGTGTTTTTAAAAATATCTTTTCTCTGAGTACATGTCTAGAAGAAAACCATCAAAATCTATTAGAAGTAAATAGTTCAAAGCGAGTTCTAGTGCTAGAATAGTTATACATGTCTGACTAAAGTTAAATACAACATAAAATATTAGAGTTTTTTTCTCTTTCCTGAACTATGCTGTCATATTTTCATCATTTAGATTTTAATATCATTTCTATAGAAGGAAATTACCAAGGAAGTTCGTGCTGTCATTAATTCCATTTGTTTAATTCATTTCTAATTTTATTTAAGTATATCATATTAGAGTATGAATAGTTTCAAATATTTTCCAGTAAATTCCAATATTCATCAAATTGAACACAACGATACGAATTAAGACAGAATATAATATTGGTAAGCTGACAAAATCAATCATTTAAGTCTGAATCTCTTTTGTAGATGATATCCTTTTCACACGAACTGATAATCTTTCCACACTTCATCGTTATATAACGTCATTGACTCATTCGTAGATTCTCCTACACCAATAAATCATACAGTTATCGTCTTTCATAAGTATTTAGGAGAAGAATAATTGTATTATAGAAGAAATTGTACTGAATTGTATCAGAACGACATTCATGTCAGTACTAGTTCTTTCTCTCGTTAGTGTTTAACTTTCCAGTTTCAGTTGTTCATAATATTTGATATCTCATTGCGTTGTTCATATCTTTACAAACTGAATAAACATTTAACTCACGATTTATTCTGATTCGAACCTCAAGAACTTGAATGTGTCTGTGTGTATTTAAAAATTGAAATTGATATTTCAAGTTTTTCATAAATTTTATCTATCAATACTAATTTTAGATATGATATCTAATTTTATCATTTTTCTATTTGGTATTACATTGGTTGGTAGTTCTTTACTACCATCTATTCCCGTATCAAAATATGTTCCAAGCTGTAAGTAACTTGAATCGATAACCAGTCAGATTTTATTTATATCTTTTTAATTTTAAAGCCCTTCACAGATATTCATCAGGATTAAATTATTATTGGAATTTATTGCTCGATGATGATAGTCTTTATGTTGGTGGACAGTAAGTTTTCTGCGTGTTTAATCCTAATATGAATAATAATTTTATTTTGTTTTTCATTCAATAGAAATTTAATTGTTCGATTAGATCGAGATAACATTGAAGATCGAACGAGCTCAGTAGGACATTAATGAAGAGTATAATAAGAAATAGAATTCTTTGCTTTCTAAATAGATTTACAAATCAATTGATCTTCCATTAAAACGTGATGAAGTACAAAAATGTCTAGCACATTCATTAAATCAAGTACATGTTTTAATACGATATATCAATATATTTAATATTTTTAATCATATCATTTTTCAAGGCTTTTGATTGTGAAAATCACGTTCGAGTATTGCTAAGACGTAAAACAAAATATAATGATATATTTGTTTGTTCAACAAACGCGTTTTCACCAAAACTTTATTATTTTAATGTAAGAAATTAATTTTTAAGCGTTTTATATTTTCTTCATTTGTGATAATATTTCTCAGCCTGATCTAACTGAAAAACAAGGAAGTAAGGAAGGTTTTGGTTATTGTTCACGAGATCCTCGTCATAACAATACTGCTCTTTGGTCAGGTATGATTTTGATCATTTGATTTTCATCTAAGGTCATTTCTTTCGTTAATTAGATGAAGGTAATCCACAAAATTATGGATTCTTTTATACGGGTGCTGTTATTGATTATACAAAAACTGAACCGATTATTTATCGACCACCGTCCGATGATGGAAATATTAAATTCTTGCGTGCACCTCAATATGATACAGATTGGCTGAGTGGTAAATGATTAATGTTATCAAGCAAATGAATTATTCTTATGTTTGTTTTTGTATTTAGCACCTGAATTTATTGCTTCGTTTGATGTTGGTTCAAATGTATATTTTTTCTTTCGAGAAAAAGCTGAAGAACAACGTGATATATTTCCCAGAATTTATTCTCGTGTTGGCCGTTTATGCAAAGTAAAAATAACTGCTGTGTATTTTTCTCATTCAAAAGTAATTCTTACTTTTTTAAAGAATGATATTGATACTGCAACAATTATGGCAAATACATGGACAACATTTCGTAAAGCAAGAATAACTTGTTTAAGTGGTGTAAATGATTCGCCGTTTGTATTTAATGATATTAGTAAGATTGAGTTTATTGATTATTTTCTTTTTTTGAGAAATAATTTTTTTAAAATTTAGGTGCCGTAACAAAACTTCACGATGATCGCTTTTTTGTTTCTTTTATCAGCTCACCGTAAGTAAATTTCTTTTGAAGAATACAATCGCTGATCGTAGATTTTAACTTCACATAAATATTAAATCGAAGTGTTTTGCTTTTGGCTTAATGAGCTTTGATATTACTAAGCTAAAATTGATGAGAAATGTATTTCAATTGGAAAAAAATTCAAATATTAAAATTCCATTCATAAATTGTTTTTTTACTCGTGATAGAAAGTTATAAATGTGACATTCATTCTTAGACACAGCTGTAGTTAAAGTGGATCTAATTTCAGTTTAGATATTTGTCTAGACAGTATTGAAGATTAAGAGGCTTCTTTAAAAGAAGAATGTTTCTTTTTTGTAAACATATAATATGAAGATTTTCCTGTTTAAAAAGAATCGTCAAGTCATTTTCTCATTTGCCATTTGAATTTAGAATGAATAAAATAATTGTGAACAGAAATATGCAAGAAGATATTATTTTTGTGATTCTATGAGTTTACTACATTTATCAAGACATTAGAAAAAAACTATCTGTTCATTTAAATCGATATGTATTATGTAGTTATTAAGAGAGAATAAAACAACAATGGTTCGTAGTCTTTTTGAAACATTCGTTAAATAACAGAGTAGAAATTTCTAGGTATTTGTTCTGCTAATGTTGATTTAGTTACAAGGCAATGTTTAACTTTCTTTTCATTCTATGACTTCCGATATTCGAGTGTTGTATTCACTTATCATACTTAGCAATGTCAATCATTGTCATGAATCAACAGAGAATCTTGAATAACTGAGAAAATATCCAATTTTAGACATTTTTTTCTTGCAAATAAAGCAAATATTAATAAACGTTTTTTTTTTGTCTATCTAGAGGTGATTTAACAACATCAATAATTTGTGAATATTCTCGACGAGATATTGATTCTATTCTTGATGGAAATTTTAAAGAAGCTGATTCAAGCAGTTTTTGGAGAGAACTACCACGTGATCATGTACCTGATGGCGTACCGAAAAATGTATGATTGATATGACTTTTTTGTGTATATTTTTGTTTTAATAAAATTAATTTAGTGTGAATCAAATGGATCATTGCCAGATACAGTATTAAGTTTTCTTCGTTCACATGTTCTAATGAATGGAAATATTTATTCATCCCCGCCATTAGAAATTGGATTTCAAATATCAAATACACTTATAACTCGTCTTGTTACAGATTCTATCAATTATAATAACGAAAATCAAATAACGTTATTGTATGCTGGTACACAAGATGGACAAGTATTAAAATTAGTACAAAAGAAAAAAGGAGAAAAATTTACTCTGTTAACATCGTGGATATTAGATGAAAGTAACAATGAAAAATCACCTATTAGAAATATGATTCTTGCTCAAGTAAATTAAAGATTATTTCCGTTTTGGAAAATAATATTCTTCTTTTAATAATTAGGATGCAAAACAATTGTATGTATCAACAGATTTAGCAGTTTATCAATTTCCAATTAATCAGTGTAATCGTTATATGCTTTGTGTTGAATGTGAACGTGATCCATCATGCCGTTATGATGTTCAACTAAATCGATGTTTAAATGTTGATGAAACGTAATTAAGAATTTTATTGTAGGGAATCTTTTTATTTAGGAAACTTTTCGTTTAGTAATTCAAAATTAGCTATCTCTCGTTTACAGCCAGAATCTTGGTGTAAAAAATCTGTACAACGACCAAGTATATATTATAAAGGTTTTTATTGAATTTTATTTTTAATCGAAAGTATTTTCCGTAGGTAAAATACTTCAATTGACAAGAAAAAAAGGTGAAACTGTTTTGTTACAATGTGATGTCAATGAGCATTTGCGTTCATCAATTGAATGGCGTTGGAATGGTCGAAGTATTCAAGATACATTACTTAATCAGTTTCTTCTAACAAAAGAACAAAGTAAAAGATAAACGACTTTTTAACATTGAATTTCTTATTCTAATTTATAATTATTTAGATTTAATTATTATTAATATGAATAGTTCACTCAATGGTCAATATACTTGCTTTGTTGGTCATCAACCGATTGTTTCATATTCTCTTGAAACAGATCGAAGTAAGAGAATCGATAAGTTCATATTGTAACTAACTCCATTTTTCTTTTTGTTAGATTCATTTGTATATGGAGATATTGCTACGAGTGTAACCAATTTATCAAGACGTACGTTAATTTTAGAATATTACGTAATTTTTATCGAACACATACGCAGAGATGCTCACCATCCACTAGAAGTTATTTGATCAAGTTTCTTATATGCATTATTAATCGATAAATGCAAAAAACCGTAATCGATCTTTTATGAAACACGATCTAAAAGGAGTATTGAAGTATTCAACGTAGAAATTCTCCATCCTACGCACCCGCCGTCATAGATACGTGAAGAAACAATATAAAAAATTCAACCATAGAATGTGTTGACTCACAATCATAGATTTTGATTATATGCATAGAATATTGCTTTAATATTTGTATTAAATCCTCATGGCATTTTGAGAGGATTATGCGAAAGGATAAAGAATTAGTATGTCACAAATAAATTAAATAAAACAATTTCTTTGTAATTAGACATAACATCTAGATTATATTTAGCATATTTATTACTTCAATAGCTTTTATTGTTGTAAATCAGTTATTAATAATTTCAAAATGTTGATTTATTTTAGGTAATGGCGAATGTAACTGTTTAACAGCGGAAAAATATATCGAAAAATACAACGATTGGTGTAAAGAATTTGAAAATTATCAGCGTGCATATAACGAATGGGAAATTTTGAGAGATCAAGTAAATTTTTCTATAAAAAAAGTATTGATCTCTATTTGGTAATGTTTTGTGTTTTTATCTTATTTAGAGTTGTCCCAAGCCTTAAAAACAAATCAGATCTAATATATGTATTATATCTGTCAGATATATATGTTTGACAAAACAAAAAAATAAATCAGATGATTTCATCTGTCAGATGTTCATAGTGCCTCTTGTTTTTTTTTCTATTTGTAATTTCCATAGATGCTTCAATTAACAATTTGTACTCATTTATATAATCTCTTTGTCTTCAATCATACATTTGTTAGTTCCATATGTTCTTTTTTTGTAATTCATTCTCTTATCTATTTACTTACTAGTCGTTAAAATACTATTTGCAAGACTCATTTTTGTTTCTTGAATAAAACGAAATTGAATGATCTTCATTTTTGTTTTTAGAAAACAATTATACTTACTTTCAAATATGTCGACGAAAGTATTATTTACGTTGATTTCTGTCGGCGTTGCTTTGTTATTGATTACAATATTCTCTCTTTTGATTGCAAGCATGGGTCGACTTAATACTGACCAAAGTTTGTATTGAATTTATTTATGAGAGAACAATAATAATGAATTTTATTTTCTTCAAGTTGCTATTTCGTATAATACAATATCGAAAAAATTGAGTCGAGACGTTCAAGCATCTGGATTACATTTGAATGCCCCAGGCTTTAAATTTATTATATTTCCAAGTGTATTTACATCAATGGAATTCGATGATATATCAGTTTGTTTTTCAGAATAATTCGGATTTTGTTGAATTGCTTGAAACTTTTGATTTAGTGTCTTAATCAAGATGGTGTCTCGATTAATCTCGATGCAACATTACAATTCAAAGCTGACCCAAAAAATATATATGAAATCGTTGTACAATTTAAAGATTTTGAAGGATATAAAAAAATCCTTTATGCCACAGGTCGAGCTGCTGTTCACGACACATGCGCTCAGTAAGTTCTATCAGTGTGAAGCTAGCACGACGGTACTAGCACGATGAAACAGAGATTCAACTATAAGTCTTCTCAGAAGTATTGCCGGCCCATAAAAACCAGACCATTCGACGCAGAATTAAATTCTGGACCGGGTGGTGATACTTTTACTCCCCG